TCGAGTAAAGAAGGGCAGCCATCTGCTTCTCGCAGTTCAGGACCCACCGCTGCTGAGGCACGGAGGAGAATTAGCTCGTGGGGATTGCAGGTGAACCTGGCTGATGAGTTTAAAGAGGGGCTTTCCCTCTCGCGCTCGTCGGCTGTGGACGAGAATGAGCCACTGGAGGATGATGTTATCTCTTTAACATCCTCTGATCCAGGGGCCAGTGCTCTGCTGGGTTCAGCCCAGGAAGAGCAGAAAATGTCTGAGGAGGGCAAAGAAGCTGAGGCTGAGCTTTCCTAATCCTCCTGCTCTAATCTCGCTCTCCGTGCTACTGAGCAGGCCGCCTCTGCTATGGGCAGATCCATGGCGGCTATGGTAGTGACGGAGAGGCATTTGTGGGTGAAACCTGGCAGACATCGGGAGGAAAGAAAGGGTCTTTCTTCTCGATGCCCCGGTTTCGCCTTCTGAACTTTTTGGTACCTCCATTGAGACGGTGGTCGAGAAGTTCAGGGAGGCGAAGGCGCGCTCAGCGGCCTTCAAATCCTTCATTCCACGAAGGTCCAGGTCTGAGCCCGAAAAACCCAGGGGTCCTGGCCCATCTCGGTTTGAGGATCAGAGACGAGCACAGAAGGCTAGTGTCACGACTTGCGCTCTCCCCCCCGCCTGAGGGTAGGTCAAAGGGAGGTAGGCAAGACCTAAGGGATGTCAAGGCGTCAGCGCTTTCATCCGGATCAGAGTGATACTTGAGTATCTACTCATTTCCCTCGGGGGTTTAACATCTGCCCTTATCTTTCCCTTCCTAATTGCCCTGTAACCACCATCTCTGCACCTGACCGAGGTTAGGTGCCGTTTTCCTTACGCATCCATCTGTTCCAGCATACCAGTTATGCCAACATCGAGGCGATGCGCGAAAACGGCTATGAGAGGATGCCCCCGGTAGAAGAGACGCTAGCCAGCTATCTCTCTATGGGTGATACATCTTTTTTCAAAACACCCTCCTTGCCATCCAAGCCCTGATGAGGTAGCTGAGTTGCGCCGCACCACGGATCTCGCTCTCCGTGCTACTTAGCAGGCCGCCTCTGCTATGGGCTAAGGGATGTCAAGTCGTCAGCGCTTTCATCCGGATCAGAGTGATACTTGAGTATCTACTCATTTCCCTCGGGGGTTTAACATCTGCCCTTATCTTTCCCTTCCTAATTGCCCTGTAACCACCATCTCTGCACCTGACCGAGGTTAGGTGGGAACTTCCTGCATAACAGTCTCCTACTGGACCTATGATGTTTTGGTTGGTTCTATGGCTTCATAGTGACTACCTTACTGATGGTCTGGTCTAGAGGCTTCTCCGGACAGGGCTCCGACACGGGAACCATGGTGGGTGTGTACGATCCATTTTCTATATGATATATATATATATATATATACGATAAATCGCATGCGATATTTAACGCGCATCTTGTCAGTAAAGCCGGTTCTGTAATCAGCAGTAAATCTCCATCACGTGCTGGCTTTCACATGGAGCAGCATTAACTACACAGAGCCGTTGTTCACTGACAAGCTGCGCAAAACATGCACAAAATATGATCGTGGTTTTGCGCAGCTCGTCAGAGAATAACGGCTCTGTGTAGTTAATGCTGCTGATTACAGAACCGGCTTTACTTTACTTTATCGTGCAGCCCTATAGAGCTCCCTTCTCAACTGAGAGCTAGGTGTGTTGCTCCCTCAGCGAAGTAAATTATTGCTAGCTGTTCCAGCTTTGGAACATGCTGCAGCTTGAGTCTCCTCTCGTTTGAGAACTAGGGGTGTTGCTCCCTCAGCTACAGATTTACTGCTAGCCACTCCAGCATCATAAGCCTTAGATCGAGTTGATGACTTCTCAAACATAGCGTTTTGGGATGCACAATTTCCATCTATGGGCTGCTCTTTCAGAGTGCCACGAGAACCCCTTAGAACGGAATTTTTTAGAAAATCCATGTTATGGTAAGTGTGCACGCTAAGTCTTTGTACACTTTCTAAAATCCACACTGTGGTAAGTTCGCATGCTAGTAGTCTGCATTCTTTTCTAGAATCCTGTATGGTAAGAGCTACGCGCAGTAGCTTCGTGCTCTTTCTGAGTGGTTTAAAACCCCGGTTCTGCCTTGGGCACCACTCCACCTACGTATCCTCTGGATACCTACTTTAATAGGGTGTTGCTACTAGTGGTCTGTTGAGACAGGTCCTTCAGCATATACAGGCTGCGCAAAACATGCACAAAATATGATCGTGGTTTTGCGCAGCTCGTCAGAGAATAACGGCTCTGTGTAGTTAATGCTGCTGATTACAGAACCGGCTTTACTTTACTTTATCGTGCAGCCCTATAGAGCTCCCTTCTCAACTGAGAGCTATCAGCCCAGGAAGAGCAGAAAATGTCTGAGGAGGGCAAAGAAGCTGAGGCTGAGCTTTCCTAATCCTCCTGCCCCGCGTATGATGAGCTCTTGGAAGTTATGGATCGCGCCGTGGAAGCCTCAAGCCTCGCCGTGGAAGCGGACTAAGGAAGTGACGTTCTCATACTGAGATCAAGAAGGAATGGAAGAGGCCGTTTTCCTCACGCATCCATCTGTTCCAGCATACCAGTTATGCCAACATCGAGGCGATGCGCGAAAACGGCTATGAGAGGATGCCCCCGGTAGAAGAGACGCTAGCCAGCTATCTCTCTATGGGTGATACATCTTTTTTCAAAACACCCTCCTTGCCATCCAAGCCCTGATGAGGTAGCTGAGTTGCGCCGCACCACGGATCTCGCTCTCCGTGCTACTTAGCAGGCCGCCTCTGCGGGGGGGGGGGGGGGGGGGGTATGTAGCTGACAGCCGTCTAACGTCCCAGGGGCAACTCCCATGGCAATATGGTAGAGTTGTTACTTGGTGCTTGCCATGGTTTCTGGCATGCACTTCCCTCAGCATGGTGGTGTGAGTATACCGTTCCCCATAGCGACCCCTAAAGGACACAGTTCGAAGTTCGAAGGGAACATCTCAGGTTACGTATGTAACCATGGTTCCCTGAGTAGGGAACGAGACACTGCGTCCTCTAGGTTTCTTGCCATGCTGCGGACGCAAGCTTCAGACGAAGAAGAGGATGATGTGTGCTCCCAGCGACTATTTATACTATAGTCGCACCGGTAGTGACATCATGGCTGTCGCCAGCCAACGTGTTGTTGGTGTTTTTTCAATGTTTGCTTCAGACACGGGTCACGACGAGGCGTTCCCCATAGTGACCCCTAGAGGGGTCTCGTTCCCTACTCAGGGAACCATGGTTACATACGTAACCTGAGACATTATGTCCACTCAGCACTAACCGCGGCTGATGCAGGTGAAAGGGCAGCACGCAACATCTCTGGGAACATCGCTGTTCCTGATGTAATCAGCAGTATTTTAGGATCACAACCCCTCACTGGTGTACAACAAATCTTATATGCTTCATTTTGTTTTTACATTTCTAGCATATAAACAGAAATTTTCACAAAACAAGAGAAATGGTCCATAACACTTTATATGAGTTATAAGGATAGTTCACCCAAAAATGGACCTCCTGTCATCTTTTACATGTTGTTTAAAAAACTGAAATAAAAGAAGATATTCTGATAGATATTTAGAAGAAATACCTCTTTAACGAACCTATTTAACTCAGCTAAATTATATTTGTATAGAGACATATACAAATGTGAATGAAAAAGATGACGCAGAATCTGAGCTTAAAAGGAAACAATAAAAAAAACACATTAAACCTAACATGTGTGATAGTCGCTGGGGTATATTTGTAGCAATAGCCAAAAAAAACATTGTATGGGTCAAAATGATCAGTTTTTCTTTTATGCCAAAAATAATTAGTATATTAAGAAAAGGTCATGTTCCATGAAGATATTTTGTAAATTCCCTACCGTAAATATATCAAAACTTAATTTTTGATTAGTAATATGCATTGCTAAGGACTTCATTCCGACAACTTTAAAGGCTATTTTCTCAATATTTTGATTTTTTTTTCACCCTCAGATTCCAGATTTTCAAATAGTTGTATTTCGGCCAAATATTGTCCTGTCCTAACAAACCATACATCAATGGAAAACTTATTTATTCAGCTTTCAGATGATGTGTAGATCTCAATAAAAAAAATTGACACTTAAGACTGGTTTTGTGGTCCAAGGTCATATATGGAAACATATAACACTAATGTCCCTCCATCCCAACATGCAATTCAACTCATGCTTGAACTACACAGACACAAGAGCCCCACTCCAGTGGTCAAACTGAAATGGGACGACATACAGAGAGACGCGCAACTCAAGGAAGAGAGAGAGGTGACAGAGCTGAGCTACATTTGTTAATGGGGGACAGATGGTCTGTCACATGACCTGCAGAAAAAGCATGTTTTGTGTGTGCGAGGGGAGGTGGGCTGTATGACAAAGACTGGCGGATAAACAAGCATCCCTGTGACTATTGCTTTGACAGCCTTCTACCCCTGTTGGATTGGTTGAAGGCACCACAGCTTCTCTTCTTTCTCTTACAATAAATATAAGCTGCAATAGAGGATGTCCTCTTAATAGAAGGGCAAATCTATAGTACATTTAAAATGAATGATGCATGTTTAATTGGATTGAGACTAAACTACTATCCTAGTCTGGTCTGGGTAGTCAGTTGGCTGGTTCTGGAGGTCTTTTAGGTAGATGGTAAGTTTGAGAGATCTTAAACCAGTTATGACCAGCTGGAAACAGGAAACCCTGTTAGGTTGGTTTCATGTTTTTTTTTTCTTCTTGCAAGGATAACATGCTGATAATCACATTAATATCAATAGTAATAGAGTCATAGTCATATACAATTTAATTGTACATAACCCTTTATTTTAAAGTAGGGAGAAAAATGAAAGCATTAGCTGAAATTTAGGTTGAAATTAATATGATATTTTACCTTTTTTTTAACTTTTTTAAATAAACAGAGGGGATTTTGGACAACTTTTTATCACTCCATAAATCATAAAATATTGTTAAAAGCCAGAAAAAAAATCATACTTTTTAGAAATAAAATATCACATAAATCAAGCGATTGATATATGAACAAACGTAATTTAAAATGTTTAAAGTACAGATAAGAATAAAACTGATGAAGCATTAAAGAAGTGGGGATTTCTGGCTCGGTGTAAAAACCTTTTGAGAAAACAGCCTTTAAAGACAGATACTGTAACTGAAATCTACAGATGCACATAGATAAAGTGTCATAAAATAAACACTTAGTAGTGTATTTTGGATGTTTTCTTTACACTAGTCAACAAGACGTGTTAAGGGATCAAGACAATACAAAATTTCATAATTGACCGTTTTAAATAAATAAATGTATAAATAAATGCTTTGGCTTGTAGCTTCTTCTGTATTGCTTTTTGCTGCACTGTAATTTACCTCACGAGATTAATAAACTATAAATCTACCAAACATGCCACATGACTGTTAGATACGAAAACTGAACTGTTTAAGATATTAACTGGCGTATCATTAGTATTATTATAACGCCAGAAAAACGACAATTATTACATGAGGTGAATCATGACAGGATAGGCGGTGTATATTCATGTTGCGTGATCTTCGGCACATTGCCATTACTACAAAATGATAATAAACGTAATATTTCACTCTCTGTTGCCTCATTTATTCTGGACAGTGCGTGTATATAACCTTGAGTGACATGTAGATGGACAAGAAGCTGGTTAATGAGTCTCTTTCAGTAAACCAGGGACAGCATAAGGAAACTGGTGAAACGGAGGAGCGCCTTGGTAAAGAAAGTGAAACACAGGCAGCTTCAATGAACACGAGAGCAAACCGAGAGCAGGGTGATGCTCCATTTGCTATTAGCAGCACTCAAAGTAACTAGATCACGCCAAAACATCGGTTAACCACAGGAAATCCATATTAACGTTAGTTGTCATGAAGGCCTGCGTAACGTACCAGGTTTGAAAGCGATTTTTTTGGTGGTTATTTATTAATACTGGCCAGTTTGTTGAACAGGACATGGAATAGCGACTTTAAACGTAATAGCTTATTCGTTTTCTTCCAAACCAAGATTCATAGTGAGGCTGGTAAACCTCTCACACAAATGCCAATGATCATATAGAACTGGCCACATGGAACCGTCCTTTTGTTTGATTGACGGCGTCTGAGCCAATCGTTTTAGAGATCCGTCTGTCAATCAAGGAAGTGGCCCAATAGCGTAGGACCAGGGGGCGGGCTGATGTGCTGTTAGCGTGCCACAGCCTAGCTGAACAAGGGCCCTGTCTTATCGGGCCTTGAGGAGGAGTATTAGATGTCTACGAGCTAACAGTAAAATGCATGCACGCTCACCCGTCATCAGAGTGGTGCTCTTCATTTTCACAATTGCTGCAGTGTCCGTGATCCACTTCTACCTCCGTTTCTTTCTCCGGCTGCGGTGCTGTCTCATTCTCGTCCGCCATCTTTAACCAGGAAGTGAGGATCTCGCCCTGCGCTCACACCCCGCAAAACTATTGGCGGACTGCCGCGAAGCCCGATGGTCTCTGTAGTTCTTCGTTTTATGCAGGACAGTCTTATACTAGTTGTTGTGAGGTTTATTTGATTATTTATTTGGGACAGTGCACATAAATAAACATAGCCGTAAATGCACCGGAGGTAACAGTTAAAGGCTATTTTTTAATATGTAGTCCCCCTGGACAGAATGTCAGCCAGAGTCACTCAAAAAACAAAACTGAAATGGGAAAAATGTATCAAATGTAGCCTACGATAAAGTTGCACACATGCACATACAGGCATTCAGAAGTCATTTTAAAACACACAATAATTAAGTACAATTACATTTTTAAGTTTATAAAATGTAGGCATGCTTTCAAACGCAATACATCTTTCCACATATCAATAAAGACAATTATTGAGCACAACGGCACAATATTTCACATATTTCCAAGTTTTCAGAAATAGGCTAGACGAGCAAAAAACCTAATTAGTATCTGTGCTTAAATAAGTGAAGATTTGCAATTGATTTCTGCTGTTGATAATGTAAAAATAAATACTAGTTAATATTAATTTAATTAATTACTGATGATCTATTTCAATACAACTTAGAAAAATAATGCATTACGCACATATACACAAACATACAGAAACAGTACTGTATAAACAAGTAAGACATTCAAATCAAGACTTGTTCTGTTTTCCACTGTGAAACAGAAAAAAAATCTTCACTTAAAACATGTCTTTACAGAAGCAGCTGACATTATATTGCTATATAATAGTATACTAAATTAATTATCATAGCCTAGTACAAAACACAGACCTTTATGGGTTATCAATAACCATGAGTTTTCGTGATTTAAATGGGTCCTATTATGCTCTTTTACAAAGTTTTGTTGTAAAAGGGTGTACTAGAACAGGCTCTCATACTAGGTTGTTCGAAAAACACATTATTTTTCACATATTTTACATTATTACAACACCTCTCTCTCCAGTCTGGCATGAAATAGTTCCTGTATCAAATGAAGGCCCGCCTTCTGAAATACGAAATGTGCTGTGATTGGTTAGTTTGGGCCAGTGTGTGCTGTGATTGGTTAGCTGGGCCAGTGTGTGCTGTGATTGGTTAGCTGGGCCGACATAGTGATAACACTCGTTGCCTTCTCTAGTGCAGCTCAACCAGGTCTCGTCCCATTCGTCCATATTTGTGATATCACAAATCCCGGAAAATATGCGTTGTTGTCCAAACGAGTCATTCGTTGTAATTTTGTAAAAGTTATTTCTGTTAAACAAAATATCTCCTTTCGAATTAGACTTTGAGCTTTGTAACGTTGCAGATCTTTTTTTATGCTCAAACAGCAACATTACAGACTAACTAAAGTTGAAAAAGTGAAAAAGCATAATAGGACCCCTTTAACAAACTTGGATATGAAACGGAGTATCTAGCGACAAGTGCTATTGTTGCCTGCGTTTTCATTAAAGCAGCACTGGTGAAGTTGTGTAATTTGACCAAATTTGAACATCCTACAACACTGAACATTTTCAGTGCTTGCTTTTAGCTTTAATGATAAAATATGTCCCAAACATGGTTAAACATAGATTTCATCATTAGTGGTAGCTGTTTAAAAACATTTATTATTTCTTATTTTTATGACATTAATTGTATTAATATATATTATTATTATTTTCCATAAGTATCTTACTACTCTGATTCCTTAATTACTGATAATTACTGATTTCTTATTACTAATATACTGCTGAATCGCAGTTGGTGTTGCATAAAAATAGCCATTACTCTTACTAAACCATCCATATACTTGCTATGCTTCCAGTATTCTTTCAAAATGTTTTTTTACACTTTTTTTCACCTTGCTGTCAGTATTCAGCATATCAAAACCACCAACAAAACGGTAAGATTTACAAAAAATATTAAAGACAGCTAATTTCTGTCTACATGTACATATAATTCTAGTCCAGCATGTAAAGACTAGTTTAAGTTCAATTAAAATATTAAATTTTCATAAAATGTGTCACGTTTTCAGATTTCAAGGCTCACAGACTCAATAGAAATCGGTCTCAATGGAAACAGACTCTATAAACAACACTGACTTGTAACTTCAAACAATACTGACTTCATAGCATATTTAGCTTCCACGATAACACTTCTATGACACGGTTAGACGTTCTGCTGTGCAGACAACACTACAAATGAACAATAAAAAAGCAAAATGCACTTTGAATCACACATCTACACTGACTTTCTGCAGATTGTGGTGCTTGTATGTCCAATGTCAGATGCTTTTTCATGTGGTCTCATTCTGAAGAGTCCCAGCACCTCGAGAGCCCGGCTCAGGGGCTTCTCCTTCAGTAAGGTACTTCCAGAAATAAACATTTCCAGGAATCACGACAGAAGCCTCAGGCCTTGCCTATGCGCTCAGAGACGGTTTTAATAGGAACTCCTCGCCGTACCACCTTGACATGGATGAAGAGGGTGGCAGGAGAAAGACTAGAGCCGTCAGCTTTTAGCAGGTGAACATGACGATAACCTGGAGGACAACACAAACACAGGAATAAATCTATGTGAAAAATCTAGTGATTCGTGTCCTTCTTGAACTTCAGATCTAGGCCTTTTTAACCATTACTTGCTCTACACACAATTCTTGTACACAGGGTACTTGTATAACAACATTCCAAAAACTACTGGAGCTGTTTTCAAGGCAAAGGTTTGTGAGACTCTTCATTATGTCTTTTATAGATAATTCTGTTACAGTAGATTTCTCAAGCATGGTGTTCAAGCACTTTATATAATAGTTTATTTAAAAACATTAATTTATATTATTTACACTACCATTGAAAAGTTTGGGGTCGCTAAGTTTTTTTTGAAAGAAGTCTCTTATGCTTATCAAGGCTGCATTTAAAGGGCTGCATCACCCCCGAGGCATCCTAGGTGTATATGACTTTCTTCTTTCAGACGAATCCAGTCGGAGTAATATTAAAAATTGTCTTTGATTTTTCAAGCTGTTTAATGCCACTCAGCGGGTGTTGCATTGCTTCAGTCCCAAAGAAGTTAAATAAAAAGTGCCCATCCATAAAAAAAGTGTCTCACACGGCTCCGGGGGGTGAACAAAGACAATTTTTAACCCTTTCGCACGTGAGTTTAAAATATTCTAGCTGAGCCCCCAGCGTGAGTTTTTTTTAGGCGACCGTTATTTTAAAATGTATCGCCTTATTGTTTCCATGGCGACGTGTCATGCTTGTCATGTGACACAACGCAGCCACAATAGATCTGTGTAACACATGGAACGTTTTTATTTCGTTTTTCCTGTTTTATTCAAAATATTCACAAACATGCTCACTATATTATGAAATATCTGATATTCCGATTCTGAAATATGTGCAATTAAATCTGTTTGGTAGTTTAAACACTTTTATATTGACCGTGTTATTTGATCTATACCGGGTGATGGGCGCCGCCATGTTAGTTCGCGCTGCATCCGAGCTGTGGGATTTACAACACGCAAATTCATCCTCTCCTCCCGAAACACGTTAAAGTAGGTCTCCGGTAAACTGGGAGAAGAGCAGAGTAAACTTTATAGTTACCTACACAATCTGTATATGATATCAATAAAAACATGTCGTCAGATTATATTTGTAAGGATCATTATTGTTATCATTATTCTAATCACACCGGTGTGATCGTACGCTTCAGGGACCAGCCAAGACTGATCACACCGGTGTGATCGTACGCGTCAAAGGGTTAATATAACTCCGACTGGATTCGTCTGAAAGAAGAAAGTCATATACACCTAGGATGCCTCGGGGGTGAGTAAAACACAGCCTAATTTTCATTTTTGGGTGAACTAACCCTTTAAGTAACGGTGATATTGTGAAATAATGTAACAATTTAAAATAATTGTTTTCTGCTCTAATATATTTTAAAATGTGATGTAATTCCTGTGAATCTGAATTTTCAGCATCATTACTCCAGTCTTCAGTGTCACATGATCCTTCAGAATTTCTGATATGCTGCTCAAGAAACATTTCTTACTATTATAAATGCTGAAAAAACTGTGATACAATTTTAATGATTATTTATTGAATAGAAAGAGCAGCATTTATTTGAAATAGCAATCTTTTTAACATTATAAATGTATTCACTGATTTATTCAACAAGGATGCATCAAATCGATCAAAAAGTATTAATTTCTTTACATAAAAATCTTACTGACCCCAAACTTTTTAACAAAATTGAAAATGCATACAGTACTTCCACCACAAATCATGTTTAATATAGTATATATTTTATAAAAACATCATACTGTGTGATCTGAACACACACACACCTGTTCGAAGGCTGGTGAAAGGGAGGGTGAACTGGCCAATGAAATCATTTTTGGATTTGTAGTCGTGATCTTCCACCATAAAACGCACCAAGGCCAGTTCAGGCACCTGCAGCTGAAAGCTCACAGTACAGTCCCAACGAGGGTTGAAACCTGCAGGGGGAGACAAACACAGACACACACACACACACACACACACACACACACACACACACATATACTCAATTTTCAATCCTGACAGGAACACCTCTCGTTTTACTGCTAGAATATGTTTATCACACACAGAATAAATGCTCAAAACAACAAAATAAAAACAAATGAAACACTGTAATCAATATGAAACCATTAAAACATCACTAACGTTTCTATCACACACACACAATTCTAATGGATTGATATTGATTAAAGGAGTCCTATTATGCTTTTTCACTTTTTCAACTTTAGTTAGTCTGTAATGTTGCTGTTTGAGCATAAAAAAAGATCTGCAAAGTTACAAAGCTCAAAGTCTAATTCAAAAGAAGATATTTTATTTAACAGAAATCACTTTTCAAAAACTAGAACGAATGACTCGTTTGGACAACAACGCATATTTTCCGGGATTTGTGATATCACAAATATGGACGAATGGGACGAGACCTGGTTGAGCTGCACTAGAGAAGGCAACGAGTGTTATCACTATGTCGGAGACACACTAGCTTTCCC